CATATGCGAGGTTATTAACTAGTATATTGATTATCAATTTATAGAAATTTTACTAGATAGTTGAGTCTCATTGGCCCAAAAATTGAATGAGTTTCTAAGTACTCATTAAAACTAATTTAAAGAGAGACTATCCGCATCTAAATTAAATCCTTGTTTGAGTCCCAATATATTAAAAACATATTTTTATCCATGTGAATAAAATAATTTTGAATGTAAATCCAAATTCGTCTCCTACTTTTTAACTATACAATTTTCGAAAAATCACTATTACGAAATTTATCTTTTCAAAGAATTAAGTTTAAACATAGTCTAAATCAACTAAGACAAACCAATTTAAAGAGTATGACGATCTGCATCTAAATTGTAACTTGTGAGCTTGGTTTTAGCCCCACTAATATCCACGGTCTTCCACTCTCCTTTGTATGTGTGCTGTGGATTAAACGATTAATTATGCTATGAAATGTGTGGTTAAAATTAAATATTGACTTTGACTTAAATTTTATAACACAGTGAATAATTAAACATGAAAAAGTACACAATTTGCAGTGAACCACTCTTTACGAGATAACTATGTCCACTTCCAGGGGTGGACGCAGACCTTAAAAGTTAGGGGGGGGCACAATCGAACTTGGAAAGAAGTTGGGAGAAATTTTACAATCGAAAATTTATGTTCAAAAAAATCATGCCCCCATGTAATTTTAAATTCGAAAATTTACACGGTATATGACTTTTTCGGATGTAAAATTTCGAAAATTTTTGATGTCATATTTCATATAAAATTTCCTAAGAAAATGATGAAAATTACTATGAGAAATTTGTATCGCAAAAATAATAAATATTAATAAAATAATTGAATTATTTAAAAAAATGCGAGTTAGACGTCTTTTTTTAAGACTCACGTTTAACGTATTTTTAACTATTTTCGATATCTATTTGGACTATTCGATATGCCCATAATGTAATTCTCAAAATAAATTTTGAGATGATATAAGCAATTTGTAGATTCGTTTAGCGTACGATCGTCGGAGAATTTTTAAAATTAGCATGTTATCGAAATTCAAATTTATTGTGATTTTACCCATATTTGGTGGAAATTAAAATCAAATTTTTAGTAAATTTTGATAAAAGTTAAATAGTTATGGATTCCATGAAATATATTATTAAAATTAATTGTTAACTTTGATTTAAATTAAAATTTTGATTTCAATCAATACCAAACACGATTTTATATTAAATAAAAAATCTCAAACGTTTGTGGGGAGGGCACTTGCCCCCAGGACCCCCCTAGGTCCGTCGATGCCACTTCATATCGCAACAGGATTGTGAGGTTTGTTGTTGAAAATTTGTGAATCATAAGAAATGTGTGGTTAAAATTAAATATTGACTTTGACTTAAATTTTAATGGTACCAAACATAAGCTATTTTCTGATCTCACGCTCCAATGTTTCCCTCTAGCTAGGCTTTCACTAATACCTTTAACCTGGAATGAAATATTAGGGCGACTTAATAAATAGTATAATTTTTTAAAATTACCCCTATTATATATTAGAAAATTTCACACTATTAAATTGAATCATATTAAAAATGGAACAATACATAATTCATAGTTTTAAAGTTTACATTTCATAA